CCCCCCCCCCCAGGCCCCCCAAATCCTACATCAAACTTTCAAAGGGGGTGCAGGTGACCATTGACCCAGGGCTGTGACCCCTTTTTTTCTTGGGTGAATATTTCCCCTGTGCCCCGCACCATGTGGGTCAGCTCGCAACGCCTCGCGTGTTGCAGATGCGCGATTTTTTTCTGCACGGCGTGCAGTTGCATGTATATTTTGAATGGGGGGATGGTTAATTGGTGCTAATGCTGCCTTGCAGGGGTCCGGGGTTGCTGTGGAAGAGGAGCTGGAGGGAGGCAAGAGCTTGACAAGCACATGTGGCGCAGGACTGGAGATTATGTCTCATTCCATGTCTAACAGTGGGAGTGGTGGGCTGGATGTTCAAGTTCCTCCTGGAACTGGGACTGGTACAAGTTCCGGGAGAGGGACGAGGGCAGGGACAGGGACAGATGGTGAGAATGGGGTTGGACCTGGGTTCGAGCCAGGGTCACTACCAGAAAGCGAGACTGGGCTTGGTACTCGACTCAACATGGGACCGGGGATAGCGATGGGGAAAGACAGTGAGAGTGGGATTGCGACTGGGGCTTGTGCTATGGTGGACTACCCAGATGGTGGTTCCCTGGATCTCCGGTCTTCCCCCGACAGTGCGGTGGCCGAGCCTGGGGCTGGGTTTGAGATTGAGGCTAGGGTTGAGAGTGCGCCTAGGATTGATACTGGGACACGAGTTGAGCATACGAGTGGCACGAAGAATGAATTTGGAACCAAGCATAGGACTGGGATTAGGACTGAGAGTAGGACCGGGAACGAACCTGCTGGGGGCGGTATTAGTGTTGGAATGTGTCGTGGAACAGGAACTGGGACTTCCCGTGTCAGTGGCGACGGGGCAGAAAATAGGATGAGGACTGACCATGGCGGTGTACTGAGGCGGTCTAACAGGAAGATTACTCATTCTGCTATCGTGAGAGAGATTGTTCAAGACCAGTTGCAGTTTGGCTGCCTGCTCAACAAAAGGGACTGTCCGGGGCTGCCTGAAAGCAGTTTTTGCGAATTGGTGGACGCTGCCCTGGGTACAATCAGGGTCCCCGCCTCCAACCAACCTCACATTCAGAGATTGAAGGGCCTTGGTAAAGGAGAAAGTAGCCGCCGAAAGACAAAAGCCGATGGAACAGGGTGTGCGGAGAAGAAGATGGAAAGACAAAAGAAAGAGGCAACAAAGGAAAAGGATTCCCTGAAAGCGAAAGACATGGACATGCCAAACGTGACAAGAGATGGAGCAGGAGCAGCAGGAGCTGTAACATCAGCAGCACCAGCAGCACCAGCAGCACCAGTAGCACCAGCAGCAGAGCCATGTGCCATGGTTCCCTGTTTTGCTGGACATAGTACGGCCGCTCGCCTGCAGAAAGTTCGGAAGCGTGCTGGAAAGCTTCGTGCACATTCATTTGCACCCTCCTCGGGAGCTACAGACCCATCGATAACGGATAAATCTCAACCCCTGGCTACGGACTCGCAAGAGAATTCAGACATGAGGTTATGTGGTGTTGAAAGGTGTCAGCAGCAGCCTGTTGCTGAGCGGTCTGACTTTGGTGTTTCTGATCACCGCACTTGCGATTTGGACGACAGGGAAAATGGTTCAGAAATAAAGGAAACTAGAGGAAGCAGAGAGAAACAGTCGATGGAGGGCAGTCCATCGACAGCAGTCGACCTCTTCTCCAATCAAACATCGGCAGCAGGAGAACAGCAAGGGAAAACGATACCACCAGAGGGATTGGAAGCTAGAGAAGCGGGAAAAGGGGACTTCAGGGTATCATGTGGTCTGTTTGAGGAGGGGAAAGAAAACGTCCGTTGGGATTCGAGTGAGGCAAAGGGGAAGGGTGCGTTGGACGCGCAGCCGGTGTTTCGGATAAGAGAAATTTGCAGGATGTTTGGGGGAGGAGAAGTTGGAGGGTTGTTTCGAGGAAGGGCCGAGAAGAGGCTCTTCGACGGGTCCTTCAAAGGAGGAGGCAAAGAAAGTGTACGATGCGAAGAGGGTACCGATGGCAGGACTGCTAGAGAACACGCGCTTGACGCTGACGATGCATGCCCTCTGAACCATGCGGAGCTGCGTCCGCCCAATGATTTCTGTCCAATGCAAGGGCATGTCCTCCGGGCTATGGGGACAGACATCATGGCGGATGTGCCGATTGAAATTGGTGGGCTGTGCAGGAGAGTGCCGTCCAGAGGTCGCGTCATGCGCTCCGTATTGATGTGCTAAAAACTAACTACCACTTCACCCGAGCAGAGTGCTGCTCTTACTACCGGTTTACGCGAAACCGGTAAGAGCTTTTTGATTCGGGCCTGGGCCGGTGGCGAAAGCATTTGGCCACTTTGAGAAGGCCCAGTTGCTGGTTCCCGAGCCTTGGAACCGAGCCTTGGAAGGTAGCTTCGTCAACTTAGTGTTGTGTGAACTGGTGATTTAAAGTCCCCCACTCCACTTTGAATGATCAAGCGGAATCGGAGTTGAGAAGGGGATTGATCTGGGGATTTGGTCTTTGGCAGCCACGCCGTTTTTCTGTAAAGATGAATGTGGCTGGGTGTGGAGCCAACATGGCAGCTGTGAGTTCGCTAAACATTCTCGGTGAAAAAAGATTGGTATGCGGAGATTACTACTACGATTGCAGAACAAAGGAGTTCCTGTAATGGTTTTCCTGTAAGCTTTGTGTCCCCGTCACGGCAGTCACATGCAGCTGTTTGTCATAGAGACCCTGGCAACAGGTAAGCGCCTTTTTACCAGCAATCGTAAATGGGAAAAAAAGGGGGAACGAAAAGTGGTCTCACCTCTTGTCATGGTAGCGATGTGAGGACAAGCAGCGATTGCGAAAACATCTCAATTCCACCTACCACAACTCTTGTCATGTACTTATTTCCTCTATAGTCATTGCTGATTTCGGACAACGGAATCAAAAAGGTGTTGGATTGGGATTGCGGCCAACTTCAAAGGTGCAACAGTGTAGCTGAAAAATAGAACCATATTCTTTTCTCTCCTGCTCGCTCCCAAGAACCTTGTGACAACGCCTTGTTGAGACGGGAAGCTCATAAAAGCCTCAAGTGAGGTGCACACTTTTACGGCTCGGAAAGTTTATGCCGTACACAGTTTAGCGAGGGGAAGATTTGACAGTACGAGTCGAGTCGGGTTTCCCATGACACAGTCTGCTAGAGACTTCATAAGGAGACTTGAAAGCTTTGTTAGACTTAAAAAGTTGGGAAGGATATGCAGGGCGACCTAACCTAACCTGTCAGAGCTTGTCTTGTCAGGAGTGAGTGCAATGGACATGGAAGGGGGCGTGGAACACACTGAGAAGAGATTGGGAGTCGGGCGACCTAACCTGTGAGAGTTCGTCTTGTCAGGGGCGAGTCCGATGGACATAGCGGAGGGGAGGAGAGGCGGAGGGGGGGGAGGGGTGGCACTGAAACAAGCTGAGAAGAGAGTGGGACACACAAATGGTTAAAGAGGGGAAGGCAACGGAGGAGATTTGGGCAGCAGGAGATAATTGGAGTGGCCAGTAGCTGAAGATAGATACGACTTGGCCCTGTTCCATGGGCCACCCAGAGTATGATCTTATACGGGGCACAAGTTCGTGCTTGTGGCGCTCGTGGAGGGCTTACGGTTTGTTGAAAAGTGGTTGGGATTAGGGAGCGTTGAGTATGGGGTCTTCCTTCTTCGTTGACCTCAACCAGATTCACCGCCTTGGAGTCTTGGTCTCATTGCTTACCTGCTTCCTCCTTTCTTTGTACACCGTCCTTGATCAACCTCGTCATCATCTCTTCGTGCCACTTGTCATCATCGTCATGTCAGCCAGCTTCGCTTTCCCTTCTCCCTCCTCTGCCCCCTTGAGTGACAGCCAGCCTTGCTTGTTGTTTACCTGATTCCACCTGTCCTTGTACACCGTCCTTGCGCGTCCTCGTCTTCTCTCCCTGTTGCTTGCCACCAGCATCAGTATTAGCCATTTTTGGTTCTTCTCCCTCGTGCCCCCTTAAGTTACAGCCAGCCCTGCCCTGTTTCTCACCTCCCCCTCCATCCCACTTGTCTGTCGTCGATTTCTCTGTCGTTCACCTTATTATCAGTTGCTTGCTGATTTTACATATATATATAAACTCCGACGACACACAGCCCCTCGTTTGTTGTCCTCTTCTCCCTCTCTGCCTTCGGTTTACCGCGAAGATCTGTTTGACGATATTTATATAATATGTATATACTATATATGTACCCGTATGTATATACACACTTCGCTGTCTAGCTCATCCTCCTTGTTGCTCCTCCTTGATTATGCGCTGCGGCTTCACAGGTGTTGTCATGGCTGTTGTCGTCTGCTCCCGTTCTTCCCTCTCTCCTGCCTTTCGGCAGAAAGCGTTTTCAGAACCTTTTTTTTGTCATGCTTGTCCTTTCCTTTTTTTTTTTCCGTGTTCGCTAGGACCTGGCACACTCCTCCGGACTACTTTTGTGCGGTATTTTCATTGCCCCCCTCCACCATTCCGACCGTCCTTGTATGGCGTTTTCATTGCCGTCCTCCTAAGCCTTTATGCTTTGTACATGTCTGTATTTATCAAATTCAATCAGAACACTGTATCGCCCTAACGGGAGATTCTTGGCATGCTGTCGGGTGCACTGTTTCCGGAATACCTTTGTGATGATCGTCCGGGTCATGTCTCTTGGAAGCTGGGAAAGAGTGCTTGGTGTTTTTTTGTGCCTAATAGATATAGTTTATACTACTTTATAGCACTGCCCTTTGTGCCCTTTTTGAAGTTTTTTCTTTTTACTTTTTTTGCACGATCATATAGCACTGCCCGTTGTATTTTGCACAATCACTGTGTGTTTTTTTTTTCCCTTTTTTCTCTTCTTGGATGACTTTATAGCACTGCCCTTTGTATTTGCACAATCACTGTGTGCTCTTTTTTTCCGCCCACTTTTTGCACGATCTGACGACCTATTCTCTGTTGTCTAGTGAAGTTGTCTCATTACTGTGAATACCGCCGGGGCGAAAAAAAACAAACAAACAAGAACGCATGCGTTGACCAACGAGCGTATCTCAGTTGGCAAAAACAAACAAACAAACAAACATGAACTGTTGCACTGCAGACCCAAGTTTGAATCTTGATGAATGGAATGAAATAATTATGAATTATCTGGGGCTGGTCAGCTCGATGATGATATCTCAGGACCGTCGCCCGTTAAACCACCACTTCCCCTGACGTCAAGAAATAGGGGGGACTGGTAGGCTGGTAGCACAGGTTTATTAGGGCTACCAGTAGCAAAGTGTGGAGAACCGACGGAGTGGCAAAAAATGAAAATGTGTTGAATTGCCTGTGAGATTTATTTCGTGGTTTAAGCGTGTTTTTTTTTGTTTTTTTTTTTTAAATATTTTTCCTGGTCAGATGATGAGCAAATCTATGGGCCCTCCAATTTTCAGAGTCTCTGACTCGTTCTTCGGAGCGTGAAAAATCGCTGGAAGTTGGAGAACTTTTCCCGTTGGCCCACAAATGGCAGAGTGGCAAAACTGGAACATGAACCGAATCGGCGTGGCGGTCGTTTCACGGTGATTTTTTTTTATTTTTTATTTTTTTTTTTTCTGATATTTTTCCTCGAAAGATCACGACCTAATGTACCGATGCTCAGATTTTCAGAATTCTCTGTCAATTCTTCTGAGCGTGAAAAATTGCCAAAGTTGCTGCGTTGAAATTGCGGGACCAGGCCCGCCATTTCAGCCTCCGCTTGCCACCCTCCCTCAAAACCCGCCCGAGGTCACTGGGAGGGCTATTTCCTGGTGGCGGAGGGAGTGGTGGTTTAAAAAGGAGAAAAGAACTCGGGAGATATCCCGGGCGCCCGGGTCCCGATGCCACGCCCGGTTTAGCGACCGGGTGACCGGCCGGGCATGACCCCCGGGCATGGGGCCAGGCAGCCCCAGCGCCAAAAAAAAAAAAAAAAAAAAAAAAAAAAAAAAACCAACTCCACAAAAAATCTGAAAAAAAATATGTTGTGCAGAATTGCAATACAAACAACTTTTGGCTGAGCGTCACATCAGAATTCCTCACGGAACTGAAGATAAAAAAAAAAACAATCACATTAAGGCACCCCCCTTTAAACCCCTTTAGCCCCTTTGAAATTCATTTATACTCCCCTTCCCCCCCTTTGACAGCCAACTCTCAAAAAAAGAAAAGGGCAAGGATTTGGGCTCCTCTTGGAGAGCGCAGAAAAACCCCACCGTCAAATTTTTTATTATTATTATTTTTTTTAATGTTTTTCCCCATGCCCGGGTATCCCGGTCGTCAGACCCACCCGGGCATCACGCCCGGGTGACCGGCCGGTCATGGAAATCTTCCTAGGAAAAGAAGAATAAGGAAAAAAGAAGAACGCTTGTGTTGTGCCGCATAGATAGGTAGTGGTACTACCCTCTGTGCTCTTTTTTCTTCTTCTTTTCACACAAGTGCCTTGTGCTGTTTTTTCCTTTTTCCAACCGTCTTCACCCAAATACAATGTGTGGTCATTATAGCTGTATGTGGGGTTAACTTTCAGCCCAGATAGAGTGATAATGACCAGGTGTTCTATTTTGGTGAAGACGGTACCGATTCTCTGTTGCCTATTGAACTTGCGCATTCTGTCTGTCATCCAATCATGTACTGTGAACAGTGTGAAGTTTCCGCACAGCAGGCAGCGTATCTTGTTATTTCATCTCGTATAATTTGTCCATCTGGATTCGAACTCAGGTCTCTAATTCCACAGGTCACGGGTGTACCAACTGAGGTAGTCCATTTGGTACAGACAGGCAGCCCAGCAGGGGCCAATGATCTTCAATGCTCTTCTTTTTTTGTCCTTCGCCTCCAGTGGCCCTCATTTCATTTGGATTGGAAGTTTTCGAAAAGTCCTCTCAACTCCTTTCTACCCTTGCAGCTCTAGAACCCATATTGCAGTCAATCTGAAAATTTCAGGACATGAGGGGACTGCACCACAATGGCTGCTGGCGCCAACCAAAAAGGAAAAAACAACGGTGTTGCTCATGGCTCAGTAAAATTTTGCACACAGTGCGAATCTGCCCCGACGCAAAGTGGCTTGAATACATTGATAATTTAATATTCCATGTCTTTCAGGGCTTGAAAAAAAAAAAAGAAAAAAAAAAGGCTTGACTTTACCGAAACAACAAAGCTGGCAACACCGACCCGACCAAAATATAGACTCGATCTTTGTCTACCGAGGTTTAACAAAAATCGGCGTACACAAAAATCGGCGTACAACAGGAATCAACACTGGTAATAAAGAACGTCGAAAATAAGAGAAGGTTAAGGGTCCACTAATATCTAATATTTACGGAGGTACCAAAATTTTGGACACCGTCCGCCCGCTAAGCAAAAGAAAACAGGGGAGGGGAAGGAGGGGTTCAAAATTTTCAGCATCTTCACCACTTCACGGTTTTCCGAATCTTCAGTGTTAATCTACATCTAAAGATTCTAAACTATGACAATTATCAAACATTTTTTTGAAATGGTGAAGATGATGCCAGAAATCATGAGCAGGGGGAGTGAGGGGTTGGGATGGTCTCTAGCTGCACAAGCCCCTACTACGAGGAGTGACGTGATTGAGTGCATTTCTGTCTCCAGACGTACACTCCTGATAAGGGACTCGAATCTAAAATTTCTGGCACACCTGACCCTACCGCAAGCAGGGCTGCCCTCAAACAACCCTGATACCCTCTCCGAAAAACTATCTTCGTCTTGTCTTTGTTCGGTTTCTGCTTACCAGTGAGTGATAAGCAACCAGACTGTCGCCAACTGTAATAGAAGGTGTATATGTGTTAAAAAAAGAAAAAAAAAGGAAGGCGAGAGAGGGCAAGGGGGAGGCGGTCATAATTTTTAGCATCTTCACCACTTCAGAAATTTCAAAACCTTCACAGTCAATGTGCATCCGGACACCAAGGGCGGCATGTTCAAAATTTTCGGCATCGTCACCACTTTTGAAGTTTTCCAAATCTTCAACATCAATATGCAAAATGCTTTTTTTTTTTTTTTTTTTTTTTTTTT